TGTTTCATGTAGAACAACTCTCTTGAGTATTTCCTGCAATGGAGGTTTTTGGTGATAAAATCTCTCAGCTTCTGTATGTCCGGAAATGTTTTTATTTCTCCCTCATATTTAAAGGATAATTTTGCTGGATATATTATTCATGGCTGGTAGTTTCTCTGTTTCAGATATTTGAATATTTGGTTCCCCTCTCTTCTGGCTTGTAGAGTCCCTACTGAGAAGCCAGGTGAAATTCTGAGGGTTTTCCTTTGTAAGTCACTTCCTTCTTTTCCCTGGCTATTTTTAGAATTTTTTCTTTGTCACTAATTTTTGACAATTTTAATACAGTGTGTGTTGGAGAGGGTCTCTTTGGATTGAGGTAACTAGGTATTCTGTTTGCTTCTTGGAATTGAGGATCTAGTTCTTTCCATAGGTTTGGGAAGTTCTCATCTACTAATTGTTTGAATAGACTCTCAGTTCCCATCTCCCTCTCTTCTTCTTCCAGAATGCCTGTTATTCTAATATTTCTTTTTCTGATGAAGTCAGATAGTTCTCATAGAGCTCTTTCATTTTTTTTTATGCTCAAGTCTCTCTCTTATTCCCTCTGCATCATTTATAGATTCTTATTTTTGATATCACTAATTCTTTCCTCCATCTGGTTGGCTCTGTTTTCTATGCTCAGTAGCTCATTCCTAATCTTGATTGCATGTTTCATTTCCATGATTCCTGAGTGATTCTTTTTTAAAGTTTCAATCTCTTTGGTTGAAACTTCAAAAATCATTTTTTTAAATGAAAATGATACTTTTATAAAAAAAAAATAAAAAAGCACTCATTTTATTCATTGATTTGTTTTCTCAGTGCACTGAATTACCTGTCTGTATTTTTTCAGATCTTGTTGAATATTTTCAGAACTGCAATCTTGAAATCTCTTTCACTTATATCACATATTTTCATGTTTTCCAGCGAGCTTTATGGAGACTTTTCATTTTCTTTCTGATCATCCTCATTACTGCGGTTATTCATGGTATTCTCTACTCTCCTTTTTCTAGGCATAACTATCCCTTCTATAGCAGGATTCTCTAAAGTGTTCTTTCTATTATTTTCCAGTAGATGGCGCTGAATCAAAAGTTGTTTTTTTACTTCTGTGAACTCCCAGACTTGACTTCTGAGGCTTCAGTAAGCCAGTATAGCCGAGATGCTTGAGGGTGTGGTTTGTTTTGCCCTCAAGGTAATGGCAACCCCTAGGGACCTTGTGGAATATAGCCCCAAGGACAAAATCTGGGAATTAGTCACAGAGGGAAACAGTGATTCCACTGCAGTAGCTCTTGGGGTATCAGGAGGCAAGTTTTGGGAGCCTAAGGGGTGACAGGGCTCTGTAGTTTCATTTATTTGTCAGAAATACCCCTGTCCTACAGTGGAAAGCTGGGCTGAAGGGCCTCACACTCTATTAAGCATCTGCTGGCTCAGTCACTGTTTTCTCCACTCTCCCTGATGGTCTGCTGCCCCACAGCTCTGTGCTCCTCCCAGTCAAAGGAAGGAAGCACCTGCTACAGCCAGCTTCCTCCCCTCTCTAGGCCACACTGCTACCTTCTGGCTGCAGGACTACATCTGAGGGACGTCTGAGCTTTTCTCCCTTTTCGCCTCCCTACTTATTCCTTGTTGCTCATCTTTAGATGTTTTGATGGGTGGGTCTCTCTGTATCGAGTAGGAAATTCTTTGTTTAATTATAGTTGGTTAACTTGTTGAAATTTCAGGAGGAGACTCCAAGGTGATCGCTCATGCTGCCATTCCTCTGACGTCTCCAATCTCTCTTTTAATTTGTGAACACTTTTTAAAAACAGTAAAAAATATATTCACAAGATTTTCTAATGTTATAAACAAAATTGTGTCTTATCTTCATGTAAATTTCTTTGACTATTACTGATATTGAATATGACCTATATTATATTACTCAAATATTCAAAATAATCTTTAAAAGGTATTGTTAGCCTCATTTTAGAAATGTGTAGACAAAGCTCAGAGACTTAAAAAATCCTTGAGATTACACAGCTTGCAAGTTTTTGAAAGCACACATGAACATAGATATTACTTTGTCAAAAATTAATTTAAGAACATGTAACTTATCTGCTAGTCTTTGTTTAATGAAAGGTCAGATTACTGGATTATTGTACAAGGTGGCAAGAACAAGAGCTTATGAAAGCTTATCTTTCTGTGGGATCTGAACATCACTTTATTTGCTTCATTGAATATACATATGTCTTTATCCAAGGAATTGTAAAAATTTACCAAGTAATACCAACTTAACAACCTAAATTATTTAAGATTTTTTATGCAAAGGCTTAAATACCTTTAATTATAAACTGGTGACATAGTCTTCAGTGTAACTCTGGAAGCTACCAGGAAAGAAAGGTGTATAGTGGGAGTGACAAAAGTTGAAATTCCCTTTAGTATGGCTAGACCTGAAGAATTTTCTCAGTGCCATCATTGCATGGAGGTTAAAAGTCCAGGTTCCTAGTACTGATATGTGCTATAATGTGGAAAAATCTCAAAAAAATTATGCTGAGTGAAAGAAAGCAGACACAAAAGATCACCAACTGTGTGATGATATGGAATATCCAGAATAGATAGTCCATAGAGACAAAAAATAGGTTGGTAGTTGCCAGGTGCCTATGGGAGCAGGAGTTGAGAGAAACTGTCTAATTGTCTAATGGTTAGAAGACTTTACTTTGGAGTGATGGAAATGTTTTGGAACTAGATAGAGGTGGTTGTTGCACAGCGTTGTGAATGTACTAAATGGCACTGAATTGTTCACTTTAAAATGGTTGATTTTATGTTGTATGAATTTCATCTCAAAAAATTATATTTTTAAAGTCCAAATTCTTGAACTCAAGAGACCTCAACTTGGGAACAGATGTCTCTTCCTAGGTGTGTGACATTGGGCAAGTTATTTTAATTTTCCATCCAAACCCTAACTCTAACTCTTACCTTAACTCCCTTTACCTTCAGTTCTCATTCAGTATTGTTTTGAAGATTATATGAGATAGTGTATGTACTGCCTTTGGGATAGTGGCTGACACTGTGCAAAATGATAGCTATTACTGCTTCCTACTATTATCAGTAGCAGCAGCAACAATAATAGTAGTAGCTGTGTTCCAATCCAGATTCTTGATATAGTCAAGTGCCTACTTTCCAGTTGGAAGTCTCACTTCAGGTAATTCATTTAAGAAAAAGCCATATCACATTGACTTCATACATGTATTACCTCAGTGGAGTTCTTCTTTTGAAAGGCAAGTTTTAGATTAAAACTGTTGTTAATTAGTGTCAAAACAGAACCAAGTCTGAGAGAGCAATGAGTAAGGATCACATTCCTAAAACATCAGATTATCAGTTTTCTCAGGAGAGTAGCACACCATGACTGCCAATGCATGCTCCTTTACTGAAAAGGAACCAGTCCATGAAAAACAGTCATATACTGGGGCATTTAAAAGGAAACATAAATGGGAAAAGAAAAATGGATTTCACCAAGCTTCAGAGAAGGAAAATGTTGGATATAAGTTAAAAATTGCCATTTATTTGTAGTGGATGGTATGTGTTACACAGAGCTGTGGCTTGATGGTCTCTGTCCTCTAACTATTGCAATGGTTTCTACAACAGTACTTTTTATTAATGAAATTCTCCAAAGAGCTCAAAGCACACTTGCTTCTTTCTTGACTGACATTCAGTTACCCATACATGCTTTGGTTTTACTGTTTTTATGGGTTTCCCAAATTAAGAGGAGGCTGAAAATTTTTTATTAGATAGAAATGTACTGTTTGTAGTCTTCTTGTGACTAATTTGTTTTCCTGAAGGCTAATCGATGAGATATAAAGTACAGCCAACATCAATACCACTTCACTTATTGAATGAGGCAGCAAAGATCAAATCTGTTCCTCAATGTCAGTTCATCTTTTCCATGGAAGAGTGGGGACTAAAAAGAGACTGCTAAGGCTATGGAAAGTGCATGGCCTTCAGTGGGAGACAATTCAAATGCACATGGATTTGCATCTTGGCACTATTAATAATTATTAGCCATGGGACCTGAAGTAAAACCTTAGCTTTTGTGGCTTTAGTGACCTTATATAAAGAATGGGATAATCTATTTCCAACAGTTGTTGAAAGTATTGTTTGAGTTACCTTGTTTACAGTGGCTTAGTGCTCAGCAAATAGCTGGTGATGTCTTTTCCCCTTGCACTGCAAGCTTTAAGATTGATGCTGTGGCAGCTTTTGCCATCAGAGTAGCCAGTGGGTTTTGTGCATGATTATGGGCTAGGGAATGTTTGCTTAGTGCTTTTTGCCCATTATCTCATTTAAATTATTACATAAAGTTTATGTGGTAAACATCATACCCTGTTTAGAGCTATGAACATGAGGCTCAGAGAAGTTAAGTAATTTATTCAAGATGACTCTTTAGAAATTATAAGAGCAAACATTAAAATTGAAGTCTCCCTAACAATGGAGCTTGCTTATATAACTTCTACCATCAAAAAGCTTCAATCAAGGTCTGCCTGCTGTTTAGTTAATCTGCGGTTTGTTGAACTAAATCTTGGAAATATACAGTAGACAGTAAATAGTAAAATTTTGGGTTATCTTCTCCTGGGGCCATATTTTCAGCTTCAGAAAGACAGCATGTATCTTGGTTGTTGTTCTCTTGTAACCAGAGAGTTCACTCAGTTAAGCACCCTACCCCTGAGATTTCTAGTGACAGGACTGACAGCTTCAGAACAGGCTTAGCATCCACCAGGCATATATATGCCCCCCCCACAGTGGTAGGCAGATCAGATGACCATTGTGCAGTTGGATGAAATGGAGTCAAGAAAAACCACATGTGAAAATACATTTCTTTCCAAAATGATGGTGCATCTCTAAGGGTGTGACTAGCAGTGATATTCTTGGCATTCATGGGAAATATACCCCAGGTTTCTTGGATAATAAATTTCCTAGGGTTAGTCATTAATAGGCTTCCTGCTTTCCACCTATTTTGACAGGCCCGGCTGTGAGATACAGTAAGTTCAAGATGTCAGAGGCCAGGCCTCCTCCCCTGCTTGGGCAGCACACAACCCACATCCTGAAGGAGGCCCTCAGATATGATGACAGGACAATCGACGAGCTGCTCAGGACTGGTGTAGTGAACCAACATGAAGGCGAGTGACAAAAAAATATGCTTTCTCAAAGCCACAATGTGAATGCATTTTGCCAGCAAAAGCAATACTCTTTCTGAACCCTACTCCCCAATTCTGGTACTTGGCAATAAAAAAAAGAATAAATTCAGGATTTCCTGCTTAACATTTGGCTCTGGTATCAGTGAATCTAGTGCTTTCTGAATATACCCCACCTTTCATTCCTTAACATTTTTTTCCTCTAGATAATAGATTAATTTTGGATTTGTGGGATTTTTTGTAAAGATTTTTTTTCTGGAAAAATACATTACTCATTCTTATTAGATTAATAGCTTAAGCATTTTGCCTCTCCAGCCCATGCAGGTCTGAAAAAAAGCAGATCTCTTGACATTCTCTACTTGCACATAAAGTTCTCATTTAAACCTTTGTTAGGAAGTCAAAGCAATAAGCAGAATGACAGTCACAGTGATTGATTTTAAACAGAACAACTTAATTTTGAGCTCATGAGCCCTTTGTTAATGTATAATTTAAACCATGGTCTTCGCTGATGGCCGTTATAAAGCTGAACTCCATTCTCTACCATGGCAGTAAATATTTGCTTTATGCTGTATTTCTCTGATTATTTTATGATACATAACAGAAAATCAATTTCCATCAATGCATTTTGAGGTGTAGGTGTCTACCTGCATTAGGGATTGAAGAGTGGGTCTTTAATCAATACTTTATTTTGAGCCAAGTGTAAATGCAACATGTTTTTAAATGAATATCAGGTGACTATTTAGGTATTAAATACTGTATAAATAATGACAAACTGGAGAATGAAATGAAAGCATTTCATGGGTTTCTGAGTATCTACTGTAGAACAATGTATCCTTCCTTGATATTAAATATTTGTATTTAAGCATTTAGTATTTGTTAGCGAATTCAAAGTATAGGAAATATCTTCTGTCTAGAAAGTAGTAACTGAATTATTTATATGTTCCAGATTAAATTGTCACCCAGACTGCCAATCACCCACACCCAGGTATAGGCCAAGGAATCAGATGACCCCCACAATCAATATCCTGGTATAATCTCAATTCATGACTGTTAGGCACACATATTTGAAAGTCATGTCATTATGTACCAAGTGGTAATGTAAAGTTAAATTCATGTAATGTAAAGGTAATGTCCATCCTTCAAACTATGATTTAGAGCTAATTTTATTTTTGTGTTCTTTACTATTGGAATGATTTGAGCCATTTATTCATGCTGTAAGCCCAATATGTGTCAAAAATCAAAGTTTGGAATAAAAAATAAATGTCTTCTCACAAGGCCTCATGAGACTTTTTAGAAGAATGCCTACTAATTCTTGAAACAGTTATTGTCCTCTCTGCTTTTGTTCCCTGTGCACATAATATTCTGAAGAACTCCTGATGCTATTCTACCAGTTATATTTTTTATACAAGGGTAATTAATGCCTTCTGTAGTACTTTTCCCCCAATGGCCAATTCATAGATATATATTTGGAGACATTCACTTCAGGCCAGGCATCTAAATGAAATTCCTCCATAAATATACAATTAGTAATGAAAATGGTAAAAGGCTGAAGGACAGAGAATTGGCAGAACCACCCACCTTAAAAGACAAATCCACCATTTCTCCTACTAATCTAAGTAGATATCTTTAGATGCAAATTACTTGGTTACTGAGCAATGACCTTAAATATATGGGTAGCCATAGGTAGGAGGATACTGATCATTCAGAGAGGGTCACAAAATGCTTCTAAATCCTTGAAATCAATTAAAACTACAGTCTTTATACATAGCAGAGTCACCATTGGAGAATATCTTCAGTGTAATCATGTATGTCATAGCTAACCGGATTTCTATCTACACAACTCAAAATGATCCAGGAGAACTTTGAACCTGTTCACCATCTAATAGAAAGCATTTACTTTACCTGTTTAGTGAGAGAAATAATTCATAATCATATTTTAAGTTTAGATAAATAATTAACCCTGAAAGAAACATGTGCTTGCTAAAGTTTTTAGCAATATGCCCCAGAATAGGCTATGACTATAAATAAATGTACTGTTTGAATTATCAAGACCTATTATCTTACACATTCCCTAAAATGAGCACACTACTAAATACCATATGCTCAAGTTCAGTTTATGTTAAAGCCTGACTTCTGAAAGGTTTATGTCAGAGGCTTGTCTAGAAAATTCTTTGAAATTTAGTGGGTTAATCAATATGGAAGTGAGAGTGTGCACAAGCAACTAGGCTTCCTTTACTTGATTTATTTTTTTATGAGACATTTTACTGCCATAATTTTCTGGTTAAACATGATTATTTTCCAACATGCTGCCTGATATGCTGAATGTTATCCTAGAAGAAGAGAAATGAACACTAACCAACTTAGTTGGTGTCCTTTTGCCTTTAACCCATTTACTAAGAGTTAGAAGCACAATTATGAATTTAAAAAACAGAGGAGGTCTCATATAAGCTATTTCACACTAGGCCATCCGGCTACTAAGCCTATATAAACCTGCAATGGGGATTTTTACATGAAGACTTCATGACCCTTGCTTTTAGCCTTCAGAGATATTCACACACGCCCATCTCACCTGAATTTGACATTTCACCACTGACTCTTTTGTCCTGTGCCATTGGCATGTTGTCTACTTTAAAGCTTTACAGATGTGAGTCTTGATTGTCACTTTCCCACATGGCTCAGTGCTGCCTTCATCCATAGGACTCATTCTCCAGATAATAGGCCTGTAAGTACTGACAAAGAATGCCAGCTCAGGGCTGAACAGACTGTGCATATCTTCTGCCTTTCCTCTGACTACTCACCATTGATTCTCAATTGGCAAAGGAGACAAGTGGAAAAAAGGTACATCCTTCACCATTCATACCTTGTACCTGGGCTACTCATATTTAAGCTCATCTTTAAAGATTATGTTATTCATTAGCAAATATATTCTCCCATACAGTGGGTTCCTTTTTTATTTTGATGCTTCTTTCTTTTGTTATGAAGAAGCTTTTTCTTTTGCTGTGGTAACTTTTTTTTATCTTTTCCTTTGTTTTTATTGTCCTAGGTGTTGTATCAGTGAAAATTTTGCTAAGTGTGATGCCTAATATTTTGCTAACTACATTTTCTTGAAGGATTTTTATGGTTTCATGTCTTATACTTAAATATTTTATCTATTTTGAGTTTATTCTTGGGTATGGTGTAAGTTGGTGGCCTAGTTTCCTTTTTTTACATGAACCTGTCCAATATCCCAACACCATTTATTAAAGACACTGTCTTTACTCCATTGTATGCTCGTCTTTTTTATCAAATATTAATTGAACATAATGGCTTGGGTAGATTTCTGGGTTCTCTGTTCTGTTCAATTGATCTATGTGCCTGTTCTTGTGTGAGTTTTGATTACAGTGGCTTTTTAGTATAGCTTGATATCTGGTAGTGTGATCCCTCCAACTTTGTTCTTCTTTCTCAAGATTGCTGTGACTGTTTGGGGTCTTTTTTGATTTTCATACAACACAACAAAAGGAAGAGAAACAATACAATCAAAAACTGGACAGAGAACCTAAATAGACATATCTCCAAAGAAGACATACAAATGGCCAAGAGATATATGAAAAAATGCTCAGTGTCACTAATCATCGGAGAGATGCAAATTAAAATTAAAACGACATACCACCTCACACCTGCCAGAATGGCTACCATCAATAAATCAACAAACATCAAGTGCTGGTGAGGATGTGGAGAAAATGGAACCCTGATGGGAATGTAGACTGGTACAGCCACTATGGAAAACAGTATGGAATTTCTTCAATAAATTAAAAATGTAACTGCCATTTTACCCAGTGATCCCACTTCTAGGAACTTATCCTAAGAAACCTGAAACACCAGTCAGAAAGAATATATGTACCCCTATATTCATCGTAGTGCTTTTTACAATAGCTTAGATCTGGAAACAGCTCAAGTGCCCATCACTAGACGAATGGATAAAAAAGCTGTGGGACATTTACACCATGGAATACTATGCAGCTATAAAAAAGAAGGATCTTTTACCCTTTGAGACAACATGAGGGGACCTGGAGAGTATTATGCTAAGTGAAATAAGCCAGTCAGAAAAGGCAAGTGTCACATGATCCCACTTATATGTGGAATCTAATGTTCAAAATAAACTGATGAACAAAATGGATTCAGAGACATAGAAGCATGAAATAGACTGATGCATTTCAGAGGGAAGAGGGTGGGGAGGGAAGAGATCAACCAAAGAACATATATGCATAACCCATGGACACAGACAATAGTGGTGTGAAGGCTTGTGGAGGGGATTGGGGTGGGGAGGAGGGGAGTCAAAGGGGAAAATAAAGGGACATCTCTTTCAACAATGAAGATTTTTTTAAAAATATTATGTTGTTCTTCTTGCACTTGCTTCTATTGATAGGAGACTATCGGCTGTCATGAACCCTAATTGATAAGATTCCTTAGACACAATGGGCTTAAAAAAATAGTTGTTAACCTTCCTTGTTGCATCATCCTTAGGAGGTGAGAATATCAAGCTCTCTTCTAATCCCTCTACATTTTGTGGTACTAGTCCTGGTACAGTATTTTTTGAAAAGGAGGATGAAAAGATTCAGAGAAAAGTATGTATTTCCATTCCAAACAGCAACTGGTAGGGAGGGATACACCACAGTCCTTATCATCGTCCATATTGAGGTACGAAAAGACATCAGGATAAAACTGTATTTTTATAGCAATACCAGGTTAAATGTTTTATAAATTACTGCTCTCATAAGATGCTTAAATAGTTTCTTAATATGGACATACCAACCTATCTTCTGAGTCCAAATGGCACTGAACTTTTGAACCAGTCTGGCTGTATGCACGACAGGTTTATGTGGTATGATAAGTAAGTATAACAAGCTCTAATAGATAAGTTTCCCCAATACCCATTCAAAAACTTGTATTCCACTATCACTCTAGGAGGTTAAAGTATTATAGACAATGAATGCAAATTATTTGCAGTCATGCATTTAATTCTATATGATATGAGAATTAGAATAGCTAAATTTGATTAGCAGGAAAGGGAAAGAGACAGCACACCCAGGTCAGGCAGACCCAAGTATGCATTTGCTCAGGATACTCTGGTAAGCCTATAGCTGTATGAATCCAGCTTGGTGTGGAAGGACCAAGAAGGGAAGGCAGATACTGGAAGCAGATCAAACACTATTCAGGGAACAGATTTCATCCATCTCAAAATTTTTCCTGAGAAATAGCTCTATTTTTTTTCTATTTCTTAAGGCTTTAGGATTAAAGTCACTTCTCAGAATCCTGCTTCTTTGCAACTTTCTTAATAAGAGCCTGTCCCACCAAAGATGCCCACACCCTAATTTCCAGAATCGGTGAATATGTTACCTTGTATAGCAAAAGGGAATTCAGGTTGCTAATTAGGTGACCTTAAAATAGATTATTCCGGAGTATGCAGGTGGGCCAATATAAACACAGCAGTTCTTTAGATGTAGAAAAGTAAATGTCAGTTATTTAATGTGAGAAAGACTGTACTGACCAACCATTGCTGGCTTTGCAATTGAAAGTGAGCCAAGAAATGTAGGCATTTAGATGATGGAAGGCAAGAAAAATGGACTCTCCCACAGAGCCTCCAGAAGGAATGCAGCCCTTTTTGATGTTAGGCTAGTAAAACTTATTTTGGATTTATTTTGAACTTCTGATCTCCATAAGTTTAAAATAATAAACTTGCTTTGTGTGAAGTCACTAAATTAGTAATAATTTGTTACAGCACCAATAGGAAACTAATACAGAGGCTGCTCTGCCTTTGCAAGTCTAAAGGGACAGGAAAATAACTACCTTGCAAAGTAAACAGATGACACTTTGTTTCTTTGCTTCTTTCTCTATTATTCTGCCTACTTACTTCCCTAACTTTATTTTCCCTCGTTCTTTGAAATCCCTTATTCTCCTCTCTTTCTCAGTGATAATAATCTTTTCTCTTCCTCTTTTATCTTTCTTCCCCTCTTCCTCCACTTCTATTTCATTTTTATTTCTCTTTCTCTACATAGACACACAGAGACAGAATTATATATTTGTGTTACACAAGCATGGATACCAAAACCTACAACCGATTTTCAGAAAAATAGGGCTTGCTCAGTAATTTGGAAGATAACTAATGGTAATTCTGGCCATGACTTCACTTCCACAAGCATTCTTGATTTAATCTCTGGGTGGGGTGGTTCTCAAATAACTGGCTGCCTCTTCTCCCTTAAAACTCAGGGAAAAACATGGAGTGCTCCAAATG